AAATTCCTCTGTGGATTCTTTCTGGTTCGCTGTATTAACTGGGAACTAAATGTTAACCGAATTGAGTCAAATCCCTTCTATTTTCAAATGGATCTGCCGTGAGATTTATTTGAAAAGATTTTATCTAAATTGCATTAAATTGCAGGTAAATTCTAAGTGGATTTCCCTACAAACAAATAAAAAGATAATACTAATGTAAGAGTCAGGTTTGGGGAAGATTTCGGGTTGGGATATTCTTATAGTTTTTAAATTGGTCTGGGCTAGTACAAGGGTTTTTAGGTGCAATTTCCCCTGGTCTGTATGAGAAAAATTGGAACAACCGACTTAAGCCAATTCAGTTGCAATTTGGTTGTCTGTGAATAGACAAACTTGCCTTTTGTAAACAGCTCAATGGGTTAAAACAGCTGAACTGTGGCAGTACCATTTGGCTGTTTTTCATTTACCGTTTATTGAATAGACCTTACAGAATATCTTGGTTATCTCAACAGCCTCCTGCATCTGCTCATATATCCTTTTTTGAGAAATGATGTTGCAGGGAATTCATGGTAAATGTTGATTTCTGATATTTGTAACTCTCTGACAGCTGTGCTTGATTGTTTTCAATCAGTTTATTAAAAAAAAAAGTAGAAATTAACAATGTATCAACATCTGTTATCCAGCAGCAAAATATGAAAACATTCTGCAATATTGTGAAAAATCTGGAGCTAATTTCACAAATTCGTCAGCTGCAATAGTTACGCATATTTCCAGAACCAAAGAAATACATTATTGTCAACATTAACCCATATAGAAAATGACACGGTTAATGGACAGCGTCCAAGAGAAGCTCAAGAGATTCCAGTCGGTAGGATCCTATCAGTAGAAAAATTCCACAAATGCGATAATACAACTTTGAGTCATAGTGTAAGGGACAAAATAATGAAAAAGTGGAAAGGATCCCCTAGACTGGGTGGAACAGAGAGAGGGGAGGAGAAAAAAAATATGAAAGGAGTGAAGAAATGAAAATAGGTAGGGTAGGAATAGAGAGAGCACATAGACCCGGGGATGAGGCAGAGGACCGGCCGTGTGAGGAATAGAATTCAGGCCAATTAATTATGCCAATGGAAATAAGCCCTATTGCCTAGATTCCATACATGTAAAATAGTGGATGATAAGTAATTTAACCAATGGTATCAGCGCATAATAGAACACTGTGTTCCTGCCTGTGTTACAGCAAATGCGCTTTTAAATGGCCTGATCTCCGCTACCATGGTAGCCCATCCATAGAGATAAAGAGAAGCTCTCCTACACCATGTTAAAAACATATTCAGATTACATTTTTTTTTAATTGGAGCACGAGATATGGGATTCCTGTGTGTGTACAGTCAGGTTAAACAAAAAACTAAAAACTCACACAGCTATGTTACAATGCTGCTACCCATCCCATGTGTTCCCCATTAAGGGTTATTAAGTATGTAGGGGTGGATGTAAAAAATACCCCACCCTGTCTCATTAGAGATATCTTTGCCAGAAGGTCAAGGATGCAAGGTGAATGGTTAGTGTAGGACCACCTGAGAGGTTTGCCTTGACGTGGCAGACGGGCATTTCCTCTCATGGCTATTGGTGTCCCCCCTCCCATGCAAAGGTAAGAATGGAGGGGGGATATAAAGTATCAATTTTTTTTTAAATAAAAAAACAAACATATTTATATTACTTTCACCTTCCCCCCACTGCACACCAAACACACACACACTAACTACACCCTTCACACACTTCACTCCTGGCACACGCACACTTCACACAGACACACACATACACACAGCGCCTTTCACACAGACACACACATACACACAGCACAGTTCATACACACTGCACCCTTCACACAGACACACACATACACACAGCACCTTTCAAACACACTGCACCTTCACAGAGACACACACATACACACAGCACCTTTCATACACACTGCACCCCTCATACATACACATAGCATCTTTCATACACACTGCACCCTTCACACTGACACACACATACACACAGCACCTTTTATACACACTGCACCCTTCACACAGACACACACATACACACACCACCTTTCAAACACACTGCACCCTTCACAGATACACACACATACACACAGCACCTTTCATATACACTGCACCCTTCATACAGACACACACACACATACACACAGCACCTTTCATACACACTGCACCCTTCACACAGACACACACATACACACAGCACCTTTCAAACACACTGCACCCTTCACAAATACACACGCATACACACAGCACCTTTCATATACACTGCACCCTTCACACAGACACACACATACACATAGCACCTTTCAAACACACTGCGCCCTTCACACAGACACACACATACACACAGCACCTTTCAAACACACTGCACCCTTTACACAGACATACACACAGCACATTTCATACACACTGCACCCTTCACACAGACACACACATACACACAGCACCTTTCATACACACTGCACCCTTCATTCAGACACACACACACACAGCACCTTTCATAAACACTGCACCCTTCACACAGACACACAATTGCACACAGCACCTTTTATACACACTGCACCCTTCACACATACACATAGCATTTTTCATACACACTGCACCCTTCACACTGACACACACATACACACACATACACACAGCACCTTTCATACACACTACACCCTTCACACATACACATAGCATCTTTCATACACACTGCACCCTTCACTCTGACACACACATACACACAGCACCTTTTATACACACTGCACCCTCCACACAGCACCTTTCATACACACAGTACCCTCCAGACAAACACACACATTCACACAGCACCTTTCATACACACTGCACCCTTCACACTGATGCACTCATACACATAGCACCTTTCATACATACTGCACCCTTCACACAGACACACACATATACACACAGCACCTTTCATACACACTGCACCCTTCACACAGACACACACACACTGCACCTTTCATACACACACTGTGCCTTTCACACACAGTGCACCTTTCACACACACACTGCAACCTTCACACACAGTGCACCCCTCACACACACACACTGCACTCCTCTCACATACACACACACACATTGCACCCCTCAAGAGCATTGGACCAACATGCTCACTTTGAGAGGGGGAGTGCTTGTCATTGGTGATGACAAAACACCCCATCTCTTGGCCCGCCCAGTGGTGTATCCTGGTTTTGTGCTGCCCTAGGCAGGACAAAACTCAGGCGCCCCCCTCCCCCCCGCCCCACCCCCACCCAACCCTTCCCCCGCCCCACCTTCTAAATACACACACACACAGTCAGACACAAACACACACACAGTCAGACACATACACAAACACACACACACACACATACACAACACACACACACACACACACACACAGACACACAGACACACGGTCAACACATACACAACACACACACACACACACACAGTCAGACACACACACGAACACAAACAGTCAGACACAAACACACACACACAGTCAGACACACACACACAGTCACACACACACACACACACACAGTACACACAGTCAGACACAAACACACACACAACACACACAGACACACACACACACACAGTCACATACACACACACACAGTCAGACACATACACAGACACAAACACAGTCAGACACAAACACAGTCAGACACAAACACACACACACACAGTCAGACACATACACAGACACAAACACACACACACCACAAACACACACACAGTCATCTCTCCGGCCCCAGCCTCACTTTGCGGGCGCGAGGGAGCTGAGCAGTCAGCTCGGGAAGTGCTCTCGCCGCCGCCCGCCTGCCAGCGGCCCGCCCGGCCCGCTTGGATTCAGTTGCCGCTGAGGCAAACAAGACATTTGCCCTGGGCATTTGGGGGCGGCGTTTTTTGCCGCCCCCTGAAAAATGCCGCCCAAGGCAAATGCCTTGTTTGCCTCGCGGCTAATACGTCCCTGGGCCCGCCCCTTCTCAGTGGGCCGCTGCGACTCAAAAATGCCCGGGTCTAATTTATTTCCCAGTCCGGCCCTGATACATAGGGATTTGGGAGGAGCGCAGGTAACTTTTTCTTTGGTTTTACTGTGTGTATTGGGGCTGATGTGTACTATGGTCATTGCTGCCATCCAAGAATAGTGAGAGTTTGAGCACAGGACTAGTTTCTTTGTATTTGTATTCACTTTTGTATCGCACAGCTATGTTACAATGATACCGCCCATCCCATGTGTTCCTTAGTAAGAGTTAATATGTATGTAGGGATGTATATAAAAAATACCCCTCTCTGTCTCATTAGAGATATCTTTGCCAGACGCTCAAGGAAGCAAGGTGAAAGGTTAGTGTAGGACCCACCTGAGGAGGTTTGCCCTGATGTGGCAGGTGGGCATTCCCTCTAATGGCCATTGGAGCAACTAAATAACCTCCATTTGTTTAAATATACATAGGGATTTGGGAAGAGCGCAGGTAACTTTTTTTCTTTGGCTTTGACTGTATGTATTGGGGCTGATGTGTACTATGGTCTTTGCTGCCGCCCAAGAGTGTGGGAGTTTGATTGCAGGACTTGTTTTTTTGTATTTGTAAACAAAAAACTAACAGCAAGTAGTCATAGGCCAAACTTGTGAGGTGCCAGCCACCATAGATATTTAAGTATCCATGATGGATATTTTCTACCTTTGGTTTTTTTCTACAGGAATTGTAGGGTGAGGACTGATAATGCAAATTTCATTGGTCATTTGTTTAGATGAACATGATTCCCATTTTGAGACATGGAGTAATCTACAACTTTTGGCTACTGTAATGAAGTGGTGGGCGTCCATATGGTGTAACTGAATCCCCATATTTGTTTGCTAATGTAAAACTGTATTTTTTGTAATGTGTATGTGTGCATAGTTCCTTAATCCGTATTTTGTATATATTTTGGCCTTTACGGCAGCACTGCTACTAAGAAATGCATGTGCTGGGTGTGCCCCAAATTTCTCTTTTTCTGTGTAGATTTGGAATCCGGACCAGATTCCTTTGGGCTGAGCACCCCACCTACCCACTAAAGGTGCCCCTTTGGGGGTGGCCACAGGAAAGCATAAACTGAGGAGAGTCTCTGGAAACAGTTTAAGCAGTAAGTATTGCAGTTAGTATGTTAATCTCCCATGTTAAAATTAGTGCAGGACCCACCATTATTGGGACACTGTGACGAAGTGGTGGGCTTAACACAGTATGGCCATCTGGTGGAACTGAATCTCCACATTTGTTTGCTAAGATAGGGGATTTTAAGTAGCCTTGAAAATGTAAAACTGTGTGTGTGTGTGTGTGTGTGTGTGTGTGTGCTGTTCCTAATCTGTATTTTGTAATCTACAACTTTACCTAATATGTATGAAGCTATCAGTTATTGTTATTCAGCAAAGTGAGGATTAAAACTCAGAGTGAATTTCATTCTTTAACGCTTTCAGTTCAGCTACTCTGATCATAAAACTGAAATTCCCATAGAATTCACTTTACTGAATAACCCTATATACAGTTGCAAGAAAAAGTATGTGAACCCTTTGGAATGATATGGATTTCTGCACAAATTGGTCATAAAATGTGATCTGATCATGATCTAAGTCACAACAATAGACAATCACAGTCTGCTTAAACTAATAACACACAAAGAATGAAATGTTGCCATGTTTTTATTGAACACACCATGTAAACATTCACAGTGCAGGTGGAAAAAGTATGTGAACCCCTAGACTAATGACATCTCCAAGAGCTAATTGGAGTGAGATGTCAGCCAACTGGAGTCCAATCAATGAGATGAGATTGGAGGTGTTGGTTACAGCTGCCCTGCCCTATAAAAAACACACACCAGTTCTGGGTTTGCTTTTCACAAGAAGCATTGCCTGATGTGAATGATGCCTCGCACAAAAGAGCTCTCAGAAGACCTACGATTAAGAATTGTTGACTTGCATAAAACTGGAAAGGGTTATAAAAGTATCTCCAAAAGCCTTGCTGTTCATCAGTCCACAGTAAGACAAATTGTCTATAAATGGAGAAAGTTCAGCACTGCTGCTACTCTCCCTAGGAGTGGCCGTCCTGTAAATATGACTGTAAGAGCACAGCGGAGACTGCTCAGTGAAGTGAGGAAGAATCCTAGAGTGTCAGCTAAAGACTTACAAAAGTCACTGGCAAATGCTAACATCCCTGTTAGCGACTCTACAATACGTAAAACACTAAACAAGAATGGATTTCATGGGAGGATACCACAGAGGAAGCCACTGCTGTCCAAACAAAACATTGCTGCACGTTTACAGTTTGCACAAGAACACCTGGATGTTCCACAGCAGTACTGGCAAAATATTCTGTGGACAGATGAAACCAAAGTTGAGTTGTTTGGAAGAAAACACACAACACTATGTGTGGCGAAAAAAAGGCACAGCACACCAACATCAAAACCTCATCCCAACTGTGAAGTATTGTGGTGGGAGAATCATGGTTTGGGGCTGCTTTGCTGCGTCAGGGCCTGGACGGATTGCTATCATCAAAGGAAAAATGAATTCCTAAGTTTATCAAGACATTTTGCAGGAGTACTTAAAGCCATCTGTCTACCAGCTGAAGCTCAACAGAACATGGGTGTTGCAACAGGACAATGACCCAAAGCATAGAAGTAAATCAACAACAGAATGGCTTAAACAGAAGAAAATACGCCTTCTAAAGTGGCTCAGTCAGAGTCCTGACCTCAACCCGATTGAGATGCTGTGGCATGACCTCAAGAAAGCGATTCACACCAGACATCCCAAGAATATTGCTGAACTAAACAGTTTTGTAAAGAGGAATGGTCAAGAATTACTCCTGACCGTTGTGCACGTCTGATCTGCAACTACAGGAAACGTTTGGTTGAAGTTATTGCTGCCAAAGGAGGTTCAACCAGTTATTAAATCCAAGGGTTCACATACTTTTTCCACCTGCACTGTGAATGTTTACATGGTGTGTTCAATAAAAACATGGCAACATTTCATTCTTTGTGTGTTATTAGTTTAAGCAGACTGTGATTGTCTATTGTTGTGACTTAGATGATGATCAGATCACATTTTATGGCTAAATTGTGCAGAAATCCATATCATTCCAAAGGGTTCACATACTTATTCTTGCAACTGTATATCTAAAATGAATATATTCAATTTATAATACCTCTAAATTAAACAGTATATTCTTTAGTGAAATAGTGTCAGATTTTTTGGCCTGGTAGAAGATGACAACTTTAGTTTTTGAATAGAATGCAAATTAACCAAGTGCCTTGACAACGCTGAAGATTAAGTTGAGATAAGATCAAACAGGAAAAAGCAAGTAAATCCCCAATAATATGTCTCAAATGGAATTCTACACAAATTTATAAAAATTCTGCTCCAGGCAATGCAGCATTAACAGACGGTTTTCCAGAATGCCATGCAAAATATGTAAATCAGCACAGACTGCACATTAGCCTAAATTTATGTGAATATTTCCAAGATTAAATGTGAACCATTACATTTTTAAATAACAATACTGAATAAAACATCAAAAATCACTCATAACTAGTGATGTCGCGAACCCGAAATTTTCGGTTCGCGAACGGCGAACGCGAACTTCCGCAAATGTTCGCGAACCGGCGAACCGCCCGAAACTCCATTGACTTCAATGGGGAGGCGAATTTTAAAACGCACAGGGACTCTTTCTGGCCACAATAGGGATGGAAAAGTTGTTTCAAGGGGACTAACACCTGGACTGTGGCATGTCGGAGGGGGATCCATGGCAAAACTCCCATGGAAAATTACACAGTTGATACAGAGTCTGGCTTTAATCCATAAAGGGCAGAAATCACCTAACATTCCTAAATCACAATGAATATGGATTGACACCTGACATATGACATATTGACACATTGACATATGGATTGACACCTGTCCTCAGAGCCCCTGATGCACACGGACACAGAGCAGAATAGAGACTGGTCCCCCCTACATAGGGTCACTTGGCAGATATGGATTGACACCTGTCCTCAGAGACCATGATACACACTGACACAGAGCAGAATAGAGACTGTT